CTGGACAAATGTTTTGCAAATTTGAAATTTGCAAATGCATAATCCCGAGCCCTAATAATTATTTTACAACATTAATATCTTAATAATATAAATAAATAAACATATTTTATGTTATCAGAAATGACAACACTGCTAAGGTGATAGCTATGACCGCACCACCCAACCCCGCCAACCAGTGATGCTCCGTCTATGAGTATAAGGTCTATGAGTGTAATACTGTTTCAATGTTTCATTTACCTTTGAGCGCAGTATCGTAACGCATGTAACTTCCTTCTGGTTATGCCTCCTAGGAGACTTAAGTCGATTGTATTGTCAGTAGCCGACGACTTAGCAACAGAGGACATTCTCGACAAACACATAGGTATTTTTTTTATTCATATTTATTTTTTCACCTTCGGTCAACAACACATTCGTTGCGTTTGTACATAACGCCTGCCACTATTTTAAAATGTAAATATTTTTTTATGTCGCATATAAAATATCACAATGTTATGTTTGACGCAGCGAATGTGTTAACGATACAAAGCCAATTGTTGGTAAATAGCGTTTTAAATAATTTAATTAAGTATAGGTAGGCACCTAATTTAAATAATATTATTATCATCATATTTCTATATTTAGATTTATATAAAATTAAATATCACAATATAATTGAACGGCTGAGTAGAAAAAGGAAAATATTCCTCAACACCCAATTTTCGGAAAATTTAAAAAAACGTTTTATTTCGTTCATTTTTATTTGAATGTTAATTGTATATATACAAAAAATTCTTGTATCTAACCTTTAACCTCCTAAAATATGGTATCGTGATAATTTTTTTTTATATACCTATATTAAACTTATAAAGTACTGGAATAGTATTCTTTTTCCACTCACTGTAATAATAAGATCTTAAAATAATTTTAAAACCTCATTTTATTCTTAATAAAAGGCTATATTTAGTACAAACGTATTTTTAAGTATTGTCTCATTTTAGTTTAAATATATCATGTGGCGTACGTAGGGGTTCTAGGGTTCTGACCCCCACCGAAATTTTTTCACTCACAGTTGATCAATTGTAGGTAATTTTTAATATAAATTAAATTGTTAATTTATTATTAATTATAATTTGTTATAAATTATAGGTAACTAATTATATAAAAACTGTTAAGCAAATTATTTAAATTGTTTATTATTATTAAAATTATTTACTCATGTAAAACCCTAACCGAACTAAAATCCTGCGTACGCTACTGTATACATTTTAAAAATACTTAAATTTAAGCCAAACATTCTAGATAGTACGACAATGAGTGGAAAAAATATAATATTTCAGGAACAGTCTAAAAGATAAGTACATAAAATCGAATTTAGAAATTAATATTATCTTAAGTGATGTTCATTTTTTTATTTTTTATTGCTTGTTAAGTTGATGTTTTAAATTGTATAGGTTTTGCAACACACAAAACAAAAGCTGATGTCTTTAAATTCAGCACAAAAACAGAGTTAAATACACTTAAAAAACAAATTGATATTTACAAAAAATCAGTACAAGACACATATACCATCAATCAAAGATTCAAAAACCTTGTGAACGACATAAAAATAGTCGCAAAACAAGTTATTCCACGTGGGACCGTCATTAAAACATTGTGTGGTCAGACGGCAATCATTTATCCTGAACATATAATTGTATGTTTTGCCATATTATTTATAACAAATGTATATTTTTATTAATTTATTTTTTTTTCTTCTCAGAAGGGTGTAAATGACTTCTCAATACTAAGAAGTTCCAAAAGCAATAAAGATTTATTGTTTTTGGGCCCTGCTGCATACGTAAACCATAGCTGCTCCCCCAACACCGATTGGTCGTATGTGGGCGAGGGAGTGTGGTGCGCAAAAGCAATCAAAGACATCGATATAGAAAGAGAAATAACGACTAATTACGGGCCAAGTTACTTCGGTGAAGACAACATAGATTGTGAATGTGAAATACATGAGGTAGACCGAGTAAACAATGGTAAAGTTTGAGTTGATTATGATTTATTTCCCTTTAATGTAATGAGTAAATTTCTAAATGCCATTTTTATAATTTATTTAACTGTATATAATTAATTTAATTATTTTGTATTTATTATAGATGCTAATGAACTTAATACAGCCAACATCAATGATGTGAATAGTGATTCAATGCCTGTTTCTTCTTCAGATTCTCCAATGGCAGACAAAACAAAAACAGGTATGAATACAAAATTGCTTGCATTTGTTTGTGTTTCATGTAATTAATGCATAATTCTTGCATATATACTTAACTGAATATATTTAATTTAATTTAGTTTTGTAATTTTAGTTTTAAAAGAACGTAATAAAACAGTGATGGATAGCAAATCAGGCAAAGCAAATAATGTAAAGAATACAGGTATGCATATAAGTTCTTGCATGTATACTTAAGGGGGCTGCAGCACGCGTATTTTTCATACGTTTTAGACCAATAAGCGGTGGTAAATTACACATACTTCGAATTGTCCGATTTAAATTTTTTATACATGTATGAGTTCGTTGACAAAATATCTAGGCTTTTTAGGAAGCCGATTTTTGATTTTCAATTTTAAAAGACCTAAAAGTTAAGATATTTTTTTCGAAAATCCTGTGAAATAATAGCATTATATTTGTACTTATTTTGAGCATATCTGATTTTAAATCAAAAATCGACTTCCTAAAAAGCCTAGATTATTTGTCAATGAATTCATACATGTATTAAAAATTCAAATCGAACAATCCGAAGTATGTGTAATTTACTACTGCTTTTAGTAGTTTTTATAGTTATGCATACAAGAATATATTTTCGTTTTTCGTAAATCATTGACACGTGCGTGTGCGTGTAAGAGTTGCTTCCGGCGCGCGGCGCGGCGGTTGCTCGGTGCGGCAAGACATCGATTCTTGGAAACAATTAGCGGATAAGGATTACTGGATAGATATAGAAAAATCACTAATGGATAATAATAATCAATAATAACTATATTATTCCATAATTTAATACAACCCATATTATATTACAAAATATAAATAAATATATATAATATTATATATATTAAATATAAAGTATCTATATACCGCCTGGTGCCTATATGAATCATTTGATTTCAACACTACACTCGAACACTCCGATCAGTAAAGTTGTTTGTAAGCTTCCATTGTTTTGTGTTTTTTTTTATTATTTTATCAAATGGGTAAGGACTGGCGTTTTGGCCAAAAAACTAGGTGAAAGTTAAGTGCACCTAAGTTGAAAAAATATAGATTGAAAAATTTACAATCAATAAAAAAAAAAAAATGACGAAGATCATAATTGTGATGTTCAGGTAATTATAAAAACATTTATTTAATTTAGTGGTGTTACATAAGGCAGCAAGCCAACGCCCAGCAATGATAATGAAGACTGTTCAACATCATCATAGTTTTCATAAAAACTTTTGTGGATTTACGCTTAATTTTTTTTTAAATTTTACTTATAACAACTTTATAATGTTTTTGAGTAGAAATAATGCTATTGATTTTTGACTTCAACCTCTCTTTGAAAAGGAAAATCCATATTTTTGTTATTTATACCTAATGTTAAAAAACCCAATACCTACAAGTTTATACATAAGTTGTCCTTCAAGTAATTGTAAAAAAAATTCTAGCATCAATATAGAAAAAAAATTATGAGCGTAGGAAATTTAAATTTTTGCGAAATCGCGTAAAATAACGATATATTAAATTTAAATATAGGTTATATAATAATAAATTTTTACGACTTTCACCATAATTCCAACTTACAACGCTCATTAAAAATTGCACGCTTTTTTAAATAATCACAATTAATCAATAATAGTACAGAAACGTATTTTTATAGTAGGTATACCTACCTAGGTATATTATATTTTTAAAAGTACTTTCTTTATTCATATCGTAAAAATCACAAAAATTTGAAAATTATTTTGAGTTATAAATTCACAAAAATTTATCTATTTAAATCTAAGAAATGAAAATATATGTATCAATTTTTTTTGATATCATTCAAATACGAATCACTTTACTGCAGACACTTGAAATGTACACCATATTTTTTTTAATCTCTAGACTTGATCAAATTTTCAAAAAATATTAACTCGTTTTCAGCTGTTTATGGTCATATTAAATTCTAAAATTGTTTAGCATTTTTATTAGCCTTATATCCCAAATGTATACGAAAAACAGAAAAAAACACATACATCATTGTAAACTCAATACATTATTTTGCTTACTCGTTTAAAAATTTTGAGTATAGAAATATAAAAAAAGTTGATTGTAAATTTTATAAATATTTTTTAAGTTTCATTTAATATTATATTATGAATGATGATTCTATAAATCACTATTCATTAGGTATACCTAATATTCACCAACTACAATACTTCATTAATTTTTTTGTTTATCATATAATATTATAGAGTATTAGTATTGATACTGTAGAGAATACAGTTGATAATCTACATAATTCGACTTGTAATATATCGTACCCATCAATAGCAGGAGAAGATGAAACCGCGTTATTAGAAATATCAAGTAATGATGATGTAAACGACACGCCGAAAAATGAGGAGTAAGTTGATATCCTATTATTATTATTACTATTCTTTGTTTTAAATTAAAATAATTTACAAATGTTAGTAAATTTGAAGAATTTTGTCGAAAGTAATACTAATTTACTAGTAAACTAATAAATATATATATATATTATATAATAATAATAATTAGTAAACTAATTTATTTTTATTTTTCTTGACGTTTTTGAAAACTATTGGGAATTTTTACTATCCGAAATGATGATGACAGACATAATAAATAAAATAAGAATATAAAAGAATAAGAATAAAAGAACAGACACACACACATTGTAAATTTAATACAATTATCACTTGGCTCAACGTTCTAATATATTTTAAACAACGATAAAATTAGAATATTTATGTAACATTAGTTTTAGACAAAATTAATATTTTTTTATAAAATCGAAAAAGGAAAACCTCAATAACCCACAAAAATATGTATAGCTATTTTGAGTAATTTACCTATACTATATAGTATATAGGTATTTTTAAATTGTAGATGTGTCCATTGCTTATAATATTTTTTTTTTAAATTGTATAGGTACTTTTTGAGTGGTAGAAGAATTATTGATATAGCATACTTTTTAAAATCAATTCAACGTATTAACATAAGGGTTTCGATTGTTCATTCTCAGAAAATATGATGCTAGTCAATGAAAAAAGAAATGGATTTTTTAGTGATTTTGTATTCAAATGTTTAGTATGTGGAACTGTTGAAAATATATATTCTGAAGATCCTGATAGGATAGGACTTGATGTTAATATGGCAATTACTTCAGCCACTATTAATACTGGCCAGGGATATTCACAGTTGGAAGAATTTACAGCAGTACTAGATATGCCTTGTTATGCTAATAATTTGTATCAAAAATATCACGAAAAAGTTTATAGCCATTTATTTGATGCGTCATTAGGTGAAATTAGACTAGCTGGAATTGAGGAGGCAAAACTTGCTATACAAAATGGAGAAGTAAATGACCAAGGCCGTGCATTAATAACTGTTGTTGCCGATGGCGCCTGGTCAAAAAGATCGTATAGAACAAATTACAATGCTTCATCGGGTGTAGCGTCAATAATCGGGTACAGAACAAAAAAATGTTTATTTATGAGTGTTCGCAATAAGTACTGTATCATATGTGAAAGAGACTTAAAAAACAAACAAATAGTTCGTGAACACAAAATTTATAAAAATTGGGATTCTACTTCTACTTCTATGGAGGCAGATATCATAGTTGAAGGGTTCAAAGAAAGTTTATCAATGCATAATATTATATATCATAAATTAATTGGCGATGGTGATATCAGTGTTAGTAAACAATTACAACTTGCTAAACCTTATGGTCCGGATATAATGATTCAAAAAATAGAATGTAGAAACCATGTTTTACGTAATTATATAAATCGAATGCGTGATATTGCGGGGAAAAGGAAATGTAGCAGTGGAAAAATTGTGCCTGGAGACCAAAGGAATATTTTGCGAAACAATTTACAAAAACTACGTTGTGCAGTTACTAAGGCAATAGAATATAGAAAAGGAAACGATGGAACACATAATGAAAGAGTTAATTTATTAAAATGTGATATTATGAATGGACCATATCATGTTTTTGGAAATCACGTAAACTGTGCTACATATTTTTGTAAAAATAAAAATGAAAAAACTAATAAAAACTATGTTCCAGATATGGAACAATCTGGACTTTGGGCTGATATTTTGTCGGCAAGAAATTTATTAGCTCATCATTCCTCGAACTTGATTTATAGTGTAAATAATAATTCGGTCGAGAGCTATAATAGTGTTGTTGCTAAATATGTAGGTGGTAAGAGAATACATTTTTCTCATAAAGGTTCGTATCAAGCGCGATGTTCAGCTGCAGTGTTGTCGTACAATGCAGGTCCAAAATCAATAAGTATTTTACATAAAACAATTTGCAATGTAAGCCCAGGTGATTTTACCAAACGTTTTATAAGTAGAAAACAGAGGTTGAAAGTATGTAAAGTGAAAAGGAAACTTATGTTTAAACCAAGTAGTAGACGAGTTACTAAAGTTAACATAGCTGCAGATAAAGACTATGGCAATTGTGAAGAAAATATTTGTGAAGAATTGGATATGGATGAAGATGATTATGAAAAACATAAATTGGAATTTATGACAAATAAAATTATAAAAAATAGTGATGAAATTAAATTCATTGAAAAATCGACTACACTTCAATCGGAATGTGAATTATGGCATAAAGAACGACGAATTCGTTTAACCGCGTCACACTTTGGAACCATTTGTAAACTTCGACCGTTGACTTCTAGAGCTAATACAATAAAATCTATCTTGTATAATACATTTTGTGGTAATGAGCATACGAAATATGGTATTGAGTACGAACCCTTTGCGAAGACAGAGTTTGAAAAATTATCAGGATTCAAAATTCAAGATTCTGGCCTTTTCATTCATGAACAACTGCCGTATTTAGCAGCTAGTCCTGATGGACTATTAGATACTAACGGTATAGTTGAAATAAAATGTCCCTCTTTAATCAAACATTTAACTCCAAAAGAAGCAATAGAAACTGGAAAATTAAAGTTTGCAACTCTAGACAGTCAATGTAATTTATAATTAAAAACAAGTGACAAGTATTATTTTCAAGTTATGGGCCAATTACAAATAACTCAAAGATTGTTTTGTTATTTTATAATATGGTCACCTAAAGGTAATTTATTATGTTTAAATTATGCAATTTAATATTAGTAATAATAAATTAATGTACAATTTTTTTCTATTTTTTTTTATGTTAACAGGTATAATATACCAAACAATTTTAAGAGATGATAATTTTTTTGAAACCAAAATGAAATTATCATTAGAAAAATTTTATTTTGAAGCGATGTTACCCGAGTTAATAGACTCAAGAATGGATCGAAACCGATGTCTACGTGACTAACCAGATTACTTTTGTGTAACTATATAAGTATAAGAATTTATAAATAAAATATATAAATATTTTGAATTGGTAATTACACTTAGATTTCATTACTTTTTTTCAACATCTCTAACAGTGGCGTACCTGTGATACCTATATGTGACAAATAACAATATATGACTATATGAGATATGTCCATTGTTATATTATTATTTTTTGTTTTTATTATAAATTATAATTATAATAAAATTATTTATAACATGCATTATACTATA